GCAGACCAAGCACCACAGAGCACAGAAATAGATTGGATTGGATCCAGGAAACAGAACCTCGTAGAATTTGTAGCCAGACTCGTAGCCCAGCTTGAACCCAGAATGCGTTCCCATCGTTCGAAGCTGATGCGGGGGTACTCTGAGCAGACACCGAGCAGCGAGTAGACGTCTCGCATCGAATTCGAAGGTGAAATTGGAACGGGGTCCCGTGCTATTGGCGCTAGTGTACTAGTAACGTGTTCGGTCTATGAGCGGGTTATCCCCTGCCAGACCCACGCTCGACTGTTCCTGTGTTCCGGCTGTGTCCATCCCCAGACGTCGTAGCAGTGGAATGAGCCTGTCCCCCGACGTCGAAAAGGGCTTCCAGCTCGACTCTGCGGCGACGAACGGCAAGTCGAAGATGGCGGGAAGAAGGAGGGCTTCGCCCCCGGGACCAAACAGCCGCAAACTCGGGCAAACGGCGAGCGAAGACGAGCTCGTTGGTGCAGTCGACGAGTACTACACACGCGAGGAAGCTGATATATCCCGCTTGGACCGCGATAAACCTCTAAACCGTAGCAAGCCTCGGCTGGACCTCGATAAAGCTCGCTTGGCCCCGGATCGCATTAATATCTCGCGCTTTGACCACCCAGACCGCGGGGGTATGCTGGGGGAGAAGCGACGGCGGCTGGGACCCTCCCCGCGCGCAGTGTACGGCTGGTTGCACCAGCAAAGCGGCTTCATCTTCATCCTGGTGGTCTTTCTAGTATTTTTACGCGCAGGGCTGCATGCTGCCGCGCCGCCGTCACCCCCGGTCGAAAATCCTCGTCGTCGTCGTCGTTTGCAGCAAAAGCAAAGGCCTGGATCCCACTTATGGGTGGAAGTAGCGCGCCACATCCCATACCCGGCCTCATGGACGCCGCAGAGACGCGCTTTCGCGCGAAAGTCGGGAAACAAAGCACCAATCTCGCGGGTGCGGTGGCGGAGTACAAGAAACGATACGGGCGACCCCCTCCGCGCGGCTTTGACCAGTGGTATAATTTTGCGGTGAAGCACAAGTTTGTGATGATAGACGAATTTGATACGGTTGTGGAGGATTTGGCGCCGTTCTGGAATTTGGAGGGGCAGGAGGTCAGGGACCGCGCGCGGCTGGTGGGCGCGCTCCCAAGTATAGATGTGGTGCAGGTCAGAGGTGGCAAGGCCACGACGGTACGCGGCGGGGACGGCCAGTGGGAAGATGCCGAGGTTAGCGCGCGTGCGGCGGGATTTCGGTCGATGCTGGGCCAGTTTGTCAAGAATGTGCGTCCCATTCCCTTCTCTTTGCGTTTTTCGATGTAAAATACTGCCACATCGGCGCCCTTTCCTGTCGCTTATCCTTCGTCCCCCCTTGTTTACAACATACTTATGCCACGCTCAGCTCCCAGATATGGACTTCACCATCAACGCAAAGGCCGAGGGCCGCGTCGTCGTTCCCTGGGAGCACGTGCGTACCCCAATCTCACGCAGGACGGTGAGTCTTTGCTATCCTGTTTTCTCTGTTTCTTTCCCTTCTTTCTTCTCTTGTTTTTGGGTCGCTTCGACGAGGTTTTTGACTAGCGCTTCTCCCTTTCCTGGCTGCCATTCCTCCCCCGCACTTCGTCCGCTGTCTCTCTTTCCCTTCACTGAGCTGACCCTTGCCTCTCTTTCCGCCCATCTTTCTCTGATTTATTTTTATTTTTACTTTCAAACTGACGACATTCAACCCCAGCTCTACCATCCTCTCCCCCTCGACCTTTCGCCCCGACTGGGCCGGCCTCGGCTCCGTCTGGGACGCCTGGCGCCGCACCTGCCCGCCCACCTCGCCCGCGCGCCGGCTCTACAGCGCCGTCGGCCCAGGGTGGGCGGGCGTGAGCGGAGGGAAGGACCGGCTCGCCGAGGCGTATCGCGAATGGACACTGGGGGCGTCGGCGCGGAGTGATAAGCAAACCGTGTTCGCTACGGGCACGGCTGCGGTGGGTACGGGTCGAGCGAAGGTGAATAAGAGCAAGGCTGGCGCCGCCGGGGAAGATAAGGCGAGTGCAGGGCATCCGGGCATCGGTTCTGGCTCCGAGTTCGCGTTTGCACGGGATACGAACGCGGGGCTCGACTTTTGCAATGCGCCGGGGGCGCATTACGAGCAGGGTGGGTCCTTCTGTTTTAGGCTTCTGCTTCTTTGTCCTGATGTTGCTCGCTCGCAGGCCACTTTTTCTCCGACTGGCGCGTCCTCGGCGCTCTCGTACCCGTTTTCTCCCCCGCCCGTTCGCGGGGCTTTGGGGACATCCGCGTGCCGAGCCATTATTATTATGGGGGCACGAGAAGGTGGGTTTTATTTCCTACCCTCCTTTTATTCGGTTGGGGAGAACACTGCAGCCCTCGACGTTCGAGCTCGTGAGCCTGCTGCCAGTCGAGGCGGAGACGGAGGGCGTGTTGCATTCAGTCACAACCCGCGTCGTTTCAACGCAAACTTTCCCGATTTTCTTCTCATTTATCTCCCGCTTCTCGCATATCTTAGTTAACACCTCCTTTGCACGCAGATACACCTACGCGTGGGACCCTATCAATCTTGAACAGCGCGCGGTGGACCCGATGGAGGTGCCATGGGAGGAGAAGCGGGATGTCGTTTGGTGGGTTGCGTTCTTTCTTTGCGAGGGAATGTGTGCTGGCCGGCGGGTGCGGGAGAGCGCCAGCTTCCGCGGCGGTGCGATTCCGACATTTTGGCTGATGAGCCTTTCTTTTTTTCAGGTGGCGCGGTGCGAGCACAGGTGGCGGGAGCAGCCCGAAAGGATTCGGTGGAGGGTATCAGCGGCATCGGTGAGTCGGGTTCTTTGGATCAAGGATGGTGGCCCATATAGCCACTTCACACACTCCCTTCATTCCTTCCTTTGTATTATTTGCCCTTGGCCTTCCCGGGCGTGCGGGATGAGACGATGTGCGCCCTTGCATCTCCTTATCCTCTGTACTATCTTCGTCATCATCATCAAACTCATACCCCGACCATCCAGATTCCTCCGCATGTCCTCCGTTGGACTCGTATCTGGCACGCTCGCGGACGCGCAGCGCACGACGCCCGTCACATTTGCAGTGCCGCCGCAGCCGGAGCAGCTCCCCGGCACTGGGGTGGGGCAGCGTGAGTCTTCCCGTCTACGCTTCCTCGCCTCTTTAGTTCGTGCTACATTCTACTTCCTGGACGTGCGAGGACTCTCACTCACTCCCATCCTCCCGTTACCCTTGTCACCTCCCGTACTACGCTATTTTCTCATTTTTCTTTTGTCTCTCCTGTCGCTCTTATCTATCGCGAGGCCCCCGCGCTGACTTCTTTTGTCTCCCATAGAGTCTTACACTTCCCCCGCCTCCGCGGACTCCAACACCCCAGCATACACGACCGTGCCTGTCCCACTTGCGGCGCTCAACGCGGACGTGATGGACACGGCGTTCGTGAAGGCGGTCGTGCCCGTCGGGCCGGAGCATCGTTTCGGAAACAGCGTCCAGCTGGGGGAGTCCTGGCGATATAAGTGCGTTTTTTTATCTTGTCTTTTCGCCGCCTTCGGCTGTCTGTCCATATGTTGCTGCGTCTCGGGCGCTCATTCTTGGATGGAGCGCGAGAGTGGAAGAAATGGAGTTGGAGACGGACAGGGATGACCTCGTCTCCTCCTTCCTTTTCTCCGCTGCTTCACGGCTGCATTGCGCGCACTGTCAAATGCGGCGGCATGGCCGGAGTGTACCTCGTCATCATTTCTCGACTGAGACTAATGGACCCACAGATACCTCCTCGATCTCGACGGGATGGGCTACAGTGGGCGCTTCATGGCCTTCCTCGCAAGCGACAGTGTCCCCGTGAAGGCAACCGTGTACGATGAGTTCTTCAGCGAGTGGATCGAGCCGTGGTGCGTGTCCTCCCTTTGCTTTTGCTCTTCCTTCCATATACCATTCTCACCTTCCTCGCAGGGTACACTACATCCCCTCTCCGCTGGCTACGCTGAGATGTATAATATCGTGGCGTACTTCTCCGGGCCTCCGCCGTCCGCGCTGCGCGCGGCGAATCTCGGCGTCACCTCCGCCTTCCGAGGGTCGACATACCGCCCCCCATTTGCGCCTGACGACGACGAGCCGGTGGACGAGGTTGGCGCGGGGTTGGGCGCTGGACCGGAGGGACAGACGGAGCACCGAATTGCGGAGGGCGACTCCAGGCTCGCCCGGCTGTGGGGGAGGTCGAACGACCACTGGGGCAGGTTGAGCGGCGAGGCGTACAAGCGAAGCGCGAGACGCGGGGGGTGGAGAAGCGCCAGGCGGAAGACGCTTGGCGGCAACAGCAGCCACTGGCGGTGCGGAGCGCGGCGCAGGAGGAGGGTGACCGGAGGCTACGGCGCATCGCGCGCGCGGGGAAGCAGTGGAAGCAGACGATTGGGCGGAAGGTGGACATGGAGGGTATGCCTGTATTTTCTGCCTTGATTCTGTGCTGACACAAGCGTATGTTGCAGTGTACGTCTATCGCCTCGCTATCGAGTATGCGCGTCTGTGGGCGGACGATCGCGAGGCTATGTCATATCACTCATAAACCCTCCCTGACTTGCTGCTGTGATTTTTGCTTTGCCATGCCCCGGCGTCCAGTCACCGCCGATGTATCCTCGCTATCACTCAGTGAGACCCAAAAATATGCACACTAGATCTATCTTACTGGCACCACTTTCCTCTAATAGCTTTCGCACTTCAATTCGTTTTCCTCATCTCTCCCTCGCCGTATACAGTTGACAAGGTCATACGTTACCGCATATTTTTTGACTGGGCATACACGGGCTGCCATTGTACATATATAGGTGTACATAGAACAACGAACAACCTGACACTCCATCGTATTGATTTTCGGAGGTGAATGGTTGTTCTGAAAGATTGAGTGAACAACACGGGAGTTTGTGCCAAATGCAAATAATCTGACAGAAAAACTTGACGAGCGCGTGATTCTCGCGCTGGAAAGAAAAAGCAAAAGTCGCCTCCACAGCAAAACATGATTGGAGTGGGATTCGAACCCACGCCCGTGAAGACCAGAATGTACATAAAAGCACATGAGACACACCCAATAGGATGCTGATCCTGAATCTGGCGCCTTAGACCACTCGGCCATCCAACCTTGAGGGCGCTGGCGGATTGTTCTTAGAGGGAAACAGGACGCTAGACAGATAGGAGGAATCGGCCTGCCGGGGCGGAGCAAAACGGAACGCAGGCGGGGCCGAACCGGTCAGGAAGAAAGAGACCTGAGTGAAAAGACTTTTTGAGGATGCGGCGAGAGCAGAGACAGAAGTGGCTGTGTAGATTAGATGCATCTAATCTAAACACAGACTCGTGTCGGACACGCGAGCACAAATCCTTGCCTGAGCTAGAGACACCACTTTGTATTCATATTCAGATCGAGCCTCCAGCCGTATCATATCTGTATTTACTTGGTACTTCCAATTGTGGAACCGCGCCACTGGCAGTATAATTTATCTTCCTCCTCCTCCTCTTTCAATATATTCACAATTTAATTTCCGTATCATATTCTTGACCAGCACTAAACTTGAGTTGAACGCAAGAAAATCGATTCATGTTGGATTCATGTCCAAAATCCGGACTCCGCTACGTTGAGCCGGCCCGCCCACGGACCGCACGATCAAAGCGCGTTCCTCCTTGCGCTCCTCTCTTCCCTGCCGCCAACCTCCAGCCCGCTCGTCCACCGCACCCCCCGTCATTCCGGTTGCGCCGCCGCCAACGGGAGCGACGGCGCCCACGTGTCCTTCGTTCCGGACGACGGCAACGAGAAGGAATAGGATAAAGTCTGTGTGAGGTCCCGCTCCTTGGCCTCCCCGACACCGACAGGCTCTTCGAAGACTTCTCCCATTTGGAACTCCGCACTGTTCTCTCCCTCGAGTGTCTCTGTATCGCTGACGGCGTCACTAGGATTCCGAGGTTGCCAATTGGCCGAGGCCACCAAATTACTCATATCTCTCTCTAGTCAATGTGAAACCACATGAATACTGATTCATAATTGACGGCCACAGGCGGGAAATAACGGTTGGTTCGGCTGGGAATATACACTGCGTTCAGGGACCCCGTCTACACAGCCTGCGAGACATGGGCTGACCCATGCAGAAACACGGCCTGCCGACTGATCGGCAGAATCTGCCAGTCGACGCCCTGCCAGGCCCCCGGTCACTCACCCATAACTAGCTCCGCTGTAAGGTAAATCAACGCCTCAAAATCGCTGTTTTGCGCTCCGTCTTGTAAGGTAAATCAACAGGTTAGACTGGGGAACCAGCTCCGTCGTAAGGTAAATCGGGCTGCGCCCGAGAATTTTTTTTTGAAGAGAAGGGTATGGTCAGGCTCTGGGACTGCTCTGGGCTGCCCACTCTGTGGCCACCACGGCACGGAAGGTGAAATGGAGAGGGGAGGGCCAGGGGAAGAACAGGGGGGCGAAAAATGCAGGGAAGAACGACTAGAAATGCATTTTAGTGGATTTTTTCTTTCGAAATCAGCTCCGCTGTAAGGTAAATCAACGCCCAAAAGCCCGAAAAATGTAAGGTAAATCAACGAAAAATTTGGACTTTTGGCGGAGCTAGTTATGGGTGAGTGACCGGGGGCCTGCCCTGCCAACGTATGTCTGCAGAGGCGTGCCGACCCCCGTCTGCACAGGTCTTCAGACCCGTCGTACGCCGCTCCCGTTTCTTTTCCATTTACCCGTCCCTGAAGGGGTAACGTACAGTGTCGTACACAGCCTGGAACGTGGTGATGTTGGTCCAGATTTGGGCACGTCTCCGCATTGTCTCTGTGTTTCGCACACTCAACTTCACCCAGGATACCTCAGAAAATAATAGAATGTATGTATTAGCTCTTCTAGAACTAAGCCACATTATTTCTCGATGTTGCAACTCGTTTTTGCGCTGTGCATTTCGGGGTTTTCTCCTGATTTGGAAAGAAATGCTGTGTTTTGATTTGTGGGTCCGCAACGAGATCGCCCTGTCAATTAATGATGCCTTCCGCATGCGCCAGGACCCCCAGATAGGCGTTGAGACGAGGAATGGATGGCCTACTTACGTCTACAGACTTTGGGGTGGGTCGGCATGGTGTGCCGACGTCCAAGTCTGCACTGCGGACGGTGCAGACGACCCCACTGAACGCAGTGATATCCGTCACGAGACCAACAAAATACTGAACCTCAGACGCCGGTCAAGCCATCTATTGTAGCTAATGGGTTGAATTGAAGATTCGGCAAGATCTCCTTCGCAAATATGTATGCCAAGTGGGCATTCTGATGCTCGATGTTCGGGTGTTTCATTCTGATGTTCATGATGTTCGACGACCGAAAGATCAAACGGTTTCACTCCATATACAGGACTATCATCGTATCAACTTGAACGTCTGGTCAACGTCTGGGTTATCTCTCGAAATATGTGCGGTTCTCCCACTAGCACTCCCCTTACATCGGTCGGAACTTACTGGATTGTTTCGATGGTCATGATCTTGGGAAGAAGTTGCAGTGAGAGAACCTCGGGATACTTTGAGAATTGAAATGACAGGGTTTGGAGAGTCGTGTGTCCCATGTTTGTTGAAGAATGATCTGGGGTTCAGGCCGGCATGCTGCACCAGGTAGGCAATGGCAGTGATGAGCGTGCAAAGTCCTGAGCCATGAATAAGTACTCTGGAGGTAAGTACTGTATTCCGTGCCCAGAATCCCGGTACCGTCTAACCGACTTGTCAGATCCAGATCAGCCGTATAGCCGTATTAATACTGTGGCCTTCTATGCTCATTTTTAGCTTCCACTCTGAACGAGCTGGCATTGATCGGCATGCTCTTGTGACTGTCACAATATACCTTTGATGAGTACCATATAAAGAACACTCCTCACACCGGGAACCCTTGCGATATGTCGTCCAAGACCAAGAAAGTTGCTCTGGTGACAGGAAGTTCAGAGGGCGGTATTGGCTTTTTCATGTATGCTTTGTTCAAGTTCAACCCGACGTTTCCATTGACCCTTTACACTGGCAGGTGCCAAGAGTTGGCCAAAAGAGATTATATTGTCTATGCCACGTCCCGTTCCACCTCTTCTACGGAGGGCCTCACACATCCCAACATCAAGAGGCTCGCCTTGGATGTCAAAGACAATACTTCGGTCAACAAAGCCGTAGCGACCGCAATCGAAGAGTCCGGGCATATAGACCTTTTGATCAACAATGCGGGCCTATTTGCTCTTGGTGCGCGAAGCAGCAATAATCCAGGCTATGACTGTTCTAACTTCCTTTATAGGACCGATAGTTGACTGGACTCCCGAGAAAGCCAAAGACCTCTACGACACAAATGTCGTTTCAATTATCCGAATGTGCGGCGCGGTCTTCCCGCATATGGCCCAGCGCAAGAGCGGCACAATTGTAAATATTGGTTCCATTGTGGGTGAATTGTGAGTAAATCGACCAATGCACGGCGTAACATACCCATCATCTGTAGTGGGACACCCTGGACAGGTTTGTACGACTCCTCCAAGGCGGCCGTCCGCGCACTCTCCGAGGACCTTTATCTGGAATGCAAACCCTTCAATGTCCATGTCATGCACGCCGCACCCGGGACCATCCGCTCGAAACTCACCAACAAGCAAGAGGATTTCGAACTCCCCTCCGGCTCGCTCTACGGTGCCTTTGCCCATAACATCAGCCAGCGGCTGGAGGCATCCCGGGATGACAAGGCGATGGCTACGGAAGCGTTCGCGGCGCTGATTATCTCCAAGGCTGTCCGAGCACACCCCCCGCGGTACTTCCGTGCGGGCGGCTACACAGGCTTATACCGCTTCTTTGGTATGCTTCCGCGCAGCATGTTCCTTTGGATCGTCTGGAAGATGTTCTCTGGGCCCAAAAAGTAGCGTTGTTTTTTCGTCAATTTTTTTTGGCTATTCACAATGTGAGTCAATTCTGGTGGTGCTATTCGGAGTGTTCAACTTTTGAAATTATTGCACAGATATGCGTCATGTATGATGCGATGTATATCCTCTTCATTCTTTCAATGCGTTCCATAGTAGGCAAAACTGTGAAATCAATTATTCTCTTCAGTATTAGTCGCCGCTTGGGAAGACCAGGAAAGCACAGCTTATTATAGCTTCTCTTTTTTTTTTTTTTTTTTTTTTTGGAGCGTTTGAAGTAATTATGGCTTCTCACCAAAGCCGCGCTCGCAACGACACCAGCAACTCCGCTCTCCCCGACTTTCAGTGAACGCGACCCGTCACGAGAGGCCTTGATTGTCACTGATCAGCGGTCCGGGCCGGCACGAGTCAACATATAATCGGTGCATCTCTTGCATTCGATCATCGATGCTCCACTGCACAGTGCACACGACGTACCAAGATCCTTACGCAACGCGGTTGTTCAACAGAATCATCCCGATTTTGCGGCGCAAGAGCTTCTGACAGATCGGAGTGCGGTAGAAGCGCGTCGGGCGATTTCTCTCTGCATCCGCCGATCAGAATTCTAGAATCTAGTCCCCGAATTTATCCAGACGAGATGCATATACAGGTTTCAGGGTGGGTTTATCATTGGCAGGACCCTCCCAATGTTTGCACTGCATGTTTGGCGACTTTGATCACAAACGCCGCTTCACACCCGAGATCGTTTTTGCAATAGTATGCATGTCGATGAACGTCCAGATCCTTTTTTTCATAGGTTGACGGGAGTTGGTGTCAAAATTAACCGATAGCTACCATAACGCACCAGGAGTTGCTAAGATGTGTTGAACAACTTTGCTGACAACGTAATACTGCAGGAGCTTATTTGCAACGGTTGAAAAACCCATTTTTGTACAAGTTGATGCCTCTCATTGACTGGAAATCCATTCAGAGCTGAAGTCACCATCATCTGCCAAAATTGTTCAGTTCACGACCCTCTTTCACAGTATGTATACAAATCAGGACGGATGTTTATACGATTCGATCACCCTTGGATTCTGAAATATTGGATTTCGTGAAATTACTGCCCAGTCGGACAGTCGAGTTCCCCATCGTCGCGGAAGATGCTCCATTTGAAGTATTCAAAGCGGGGTTTCTGAACTCTATATTTGTGAGTGGGAAACTTTTGCTGCCATTCTGAAGATCTTCACGGCTTTTGGGGAGGCCG